TCTTAATGATCTCCAGGAATTTGCAACTGATGGAGGTGAAACTCACTGGCCTTTAGTTATTCGCAGGCGCACGACTTCCACCCTTAAAAGCGGATTGATGAAAGCGGACTTTCAATCGGAGGGTAGGCACCCAGCAGTAGATGGCGTTTGGAAATGCCAGGGGCTTGTCCCTTATCAGCTTGGCCGGTATTGCATCAGGGCCTGGGGAGGTCGATTACTTCAGGTTTAGTGTCTCCTTCTGAACGATCGTCTCGGTGAAGAAAACTGCTTCAAAGGTAGGTGTTTCTTCGCCTTCACAAGTGGACGAGAAAAAATCAGGTTCACTTGACACGACGGACTGGAAGAACTGAGGGAGATATTCAGCATTATTCTTGTCCTCTGCGATTTCCGTGCCCTCTGCCGTTCGCAGCAGTGGGATGGGATCTTTGTTCTGTGTACTCTACCTTATATGACTGTAAAGGACTTTGGGATTAATCACGGCACGTTCCAAAAGTCCCCTTTCGAAGGCTTTCCGATCTTTGACGATGAGAATTTTGACTCGGTTTCTCTAACTTGTAAATGCTTAAGGATTCTGGCATCCGGCCAATGAGGGATCTTTTCCATAGCTTCCTCTTCTTGTTAGCCGCCTGCTTTAAGGACACAGTTAACCAGCGGGGTGTATTCGTTAGTCTTCTGCGCATGATTGGTCAGGGGTTGGAGATGGGGCTGTTGACTGTCTCTTTGAACTGACACCAAACCTCTTCGATATCGCCGGAGAGAGTGGATGCACAGTCGATAGGACGAAGATCCTTTTTCATCTGTTCGAAACCGCCGGGCTAAATATTGGGTCGGGAATCGAGAGGTTGTGCAGGCAAGGAGAATAAGGTGTATTCCCACATGAGAACTGCATGGTCACTCTGACATAGTGGGAGGAGGCAATTCACAACGTCGATGTTATCAGACGAAATACTTTTAATAGAAGACCGCACCTTCATCTAAATACTTATTCGATTTAACTTTTATTTTCCTCATCTTTCCCTATGAAATTGAGAAGGGCCATCGGAAATTTAGGACGACGCCTCTTAACTACCGCCTCCGCCCACATTTCCTTCTCTGTGTGTGGTTTCGCTTGCTAGGATCTCTCGTCAGAAGTTCCGATTTTTCAGGGAGTACATTGTGTTCCCCACAGAACGCGATGTCCTCTGACAAATCCTCTCAAAGAAGTTGCAAGACCAAGTTAACGTGCACGCTCCAAGCCACCTCCGTTTCGCTAATTGCTGGCCCTCGTCAGGAATCCACTCTGGCCTCCGAGATTTCGAGCTCCCTCCTCCAATCGATTATTTTCGTGGTTCTTGATGTCATCTCATTTCGGCCCCAAGCAGTCTGTTGATGATCACGACGGAATCCCTTATTTTCGCCATCTGCGAGTAGTTTGGTCCGTCAGCAAAGAGGTCTCAGGATCGCATCTCCCCCCTGTGCTGTGATGACCGCCTTAGCCTTTAATGTCCCCTCGGCTGGTCTCTTAGCGTATTGTGACTGATCGCGTCTGGGTTCCTCTTGTTTCGGCACTTTGACGCGGATAGTCTCAATTGGTTTAGGAATTCCGCCTTGACGGTGTCCGTTTCGAATCGCCTATACACTACCATATGCTGGCCAGCCCTGTCCGACCCACATAGTTGCATTTCGTGGACGACAGTTTTTCCTCCTTAAAAGCTAATCAATTCATATTCGTCTTTTTCGTAAAAAGGAACCTTTTTTCACTGCTGGCCAACCGTTTTCCATAGGCATGGACTGAATACTGTTCAAAGTATGTATACTGTTTCTAAAATTCACTTGAAAATTCATTTTTACTTGCCTTGATAATACCCTAATGGGTACTTAACGAAACAACTTATCTATTTATTTAGTATAAGAAATACGGTATGCAGCTTGAGGGAAGAGGTTTGAGAAAAGACGCTCTGAGCCTATTCGACCTTGCTACGGTCACGGGTGTACATTAGACCAGTAAAAGGACAGCAGTACTCAAGGATGGGAAGAACAAACATTTGGTCCTAGCTTTATTTCAGGAAGGAAAAAATTATGCGGTATTAACACACACATCTGCGCAGCTTTTGCAAAGATTCTATCTGCATGAGGTGATAAGGCAAGCTTATTTGTATAACTCAAACCCGGGGCCATTATGTTAAAACATTCTGAAAGTGTGTTGTTCTGAAATATTGTGGGAACAGAAAGCTTGACAGGACCAAAAGACATGAAACCACACCTGGACGATGAAAACTCCATCTGCTTAAGTGTGGCAAATCGGCATTTATTTTTTCAACGCAAACATTTGCGGTGTCCTTGGAATGTACGTAAATACACTTGAGGTCATCGGCATAAATAAACGTTTGCGAATTTCTAATTTCACTGGGAACATCATTGATGTAGGGAAGGAAGAGTAACGGACCCAGAACCATGCCTTTATTTGTGCCACTCGTGATTGAGTGAGGTGTCTAGTAGCTATGGTCAACTATAATTTCCAGATAGCGGTTGGATTGGTGGGACCCGGTGAAGTTGGGTAGAGGAGGCCGGATAGTGAGGGCATTCAGATACAGAAAAGACGTGCATGAAGTACCTTCTCGAAGGCTCTGATAAGATCAGAGCAGATAAATGGCACTGACCACTGTTCATTACGAATAGAAGAGAATAAATAGAGAATGTTTGGGCGGCAAGTTTTGCCGGATAATGCAGGTCAAAAATCCGTGCTGATTAGCTGGTCAGAAATCAAGAATTTTATTGAAATTACCCTTCCAGGATGTTTTGCAGGAGGGAAAAACCTAAACAATCACATCCACTTCGGTTGCACTTTGACTTCATCTGTTTTAGGTGTCTGCGTAGTCAACAGATTGCGAACTGGGAGTATGTTTTAAATTAAAAATCTGAGTTCCAAGGCGGAGTAATAGTGAAGGTTGGAAAAATAACGATATTTGCAATATAGGGATTGAAGTTTGGAGAGTGGAAGTTCTTGGAATCATGAATATGCCACCTTTCGTGGAACTTGGAGAACTTTAGCATCGACCTGACGTTGAATTCATCTTCCAGTTGATCAAACTTGGGTGTCTGGTAATTGCGGGCTGTCAGTTTATTTGAGTAGTTGCTTAGGGTTGGTCGTATCATCCGTTTGTGTCCTCCAGAAAACCTATCCTAGTTGTCTGAACCAGTGGCTGGAGAAGATGAATATATATCAGGATCACGGAAAATTAGGTGGTAAGCCGCAATCAAAGATTTCAAAATAATATTGAATGGGGCATCGTACTGCTTCTGATAATATGGCATTATAGGAATATTAGTCGACTGGTTAATATGATCTAATACAGTTTTACATAGGTTTAATTTGGCTTCACTATGGTCTTACGCATGACCAATATATGGGACTTTATCGAAAGGTATGTTAATATTAGTTGCCTAAGGGTTTGTGTTGTCTGGTGATTTAGCTGATGGAAACAAGAAGGAGTGAGGGAAGGGAACACAACAACACGCCTAATATAAAAACGTCCCTACCGACTCATCCAGCAACCCCTAGCAGGCCAAAGCATGTACCTAAGTCAGAGGCGAGTCCAAGTGCCGTTTCATCCGCTCTGACACCGGGTAAATCCAGTTCCATTATGAAATCTGACGTAAGTTATGTCGTCCCCACGAACTAACGAACTACGGCTTACTAACATCATAAACGGAGAGAGGTAAGGAAGACCAGTAAGTGAATAAAGTTAATATTCAAAATGTGCAACGACCTGACCAGAGAGCACGCAAGCGACGCGAGGCTTAAAAGCGGCGGAGTCTTCGTCACGTTAAAACAAATGCTACAGTAAAACAAACGTGATAAGATTGTCAAAAGTCAAGTAGTCAAGTACTTCGGCACAGTACCCTCCTCCGAGACCGGAGGGCGTCGTGAACGACGCCGGAGGACATACAAAGGTCTAGGAGGAATGAGTAACTAGACGATCGGGAAAGTGAACGTGACGTCCACTGCGGGTGATATATGCGGGAGGTACTGCGGGAGAAAGCAGCTGAGTAGGTGTTGTAGTGGACAAGTTAAGGGTGAAGGAAGAGGTTGCGGTTTGATGCTGCGAACAAGAAGGAAGAGGAAGTATACGGGACGGAGGGATAGGTGGAGAAAGTGGAAAAAGAGTGGGAGGAGGTATGGGGTCAGCACATGCTTGTCCTTGAGACACGTCCGGGGGCTCCTCTGCAACAGCAGCCTTGACCCGGTCGATGCTGACTACGTCCTCTTTGTCATCTCGCAGGATCCGAAAGGTCTTGCTGTTACGTGCAAGCGCACGGAACGGTCCTTCTTATGGTGCTTCTAACGGCTTCCGCACACGATCACATCGAACGAACACATGGATGCAGTTGGCTAAGCCTTTTTCAAATAAGGCTCGGTTGATGGAGCTCGAGGTGGAACCGGGGAAGGCGAGCGCATGAATTGTCGCAGACGATGCACAACACTTTCGGGGGTCTCTTCGGCACCACGAGAGGTTGGGGTGACCCTCTCACTAGGGAGTCGGAGGGTAGTGCCGAAAACCAATTCGGCTGCGCTGCAGTCCAAGTCTGACTTCAGTGCCGCACGAATGCAAAGAAGTGCAACGGGTACATTGTCTGACCAGTTTTCGGGATCTTCTGCGGCACGCAGTACAGTTGTTAGCTGGCGGTGGAAACGCTCAACCATGCCGTTGGCAGCTGGGTGGTAGGCCGTCGTCCGAATACGTGTGCAGCCAAGGAAGTTGAGGAGAGATTGGAAAAGTGTGGACTCAAACTGCGCGCCTCGATCAGTCGTAATCATGGATGGCGCACCGAATATGGCGACCCAACGACTGACGAAGGCTTTCACAATGGTCTCAGCTTGCACATTCGGTAACGGAATGGCTTCCGGCCAACGGGTATAGCGATCAACGCAGGTGAGAAGGTGAGTATAGCCATTGGATGGAGGTAAAGGACCTACGACATCTAAATGCACATGGTTGAACCGTGCATCGGGGCTGGGGAACGTGCCCGATGGAGACTTGTTGTGGCGTTGAACCTTGTTACGTTGACAGCAAGGGCACGATCGTGTCCAAGCTTTCACATCCTTGTTCAACCCAGGCCATACGAACCTTTCCGCGAGGAGCTTCTGTGAGGCTCGAATCCCAGGATGGGAGAGTCCGTGGAGAGCTTGAAAAACAGCTCGACGCATCGAGGCAGGCACATAAGGGCGATGAAAATGAGTCGATACGTCACAAAGGATTGTGCCAGTGCCGGTGGTCAATGGGACGTCAACTAATTGAAGACTGTTAACAGACCCGTCGCCAGGGCATCCAACACGTCGTTGTTCAGCCGCCATAGCACCACGATCAATCTCGTGTGAGAGGTGAAACGCCGAGAGGGAAGGTCTGGACAGCATGTCGGCCACCGCATTCTATGGGCCATCAGTGTGGCGGATGTCGGTGGTGAATTGCGAGATGTAATCCAAATGAGAAATCTCTCTCGGTTTATATTTGTCAGAATGGGATCGGAGGACAAATGTAAGTGGTTTGTGGTCTGTGAAAATTGTGAAGTCACGACCCTCAAGGAAGTGTCGGCAATGTTTTATAGCTAGGTAAATGGCAAGAAGTTCACGGCCAAACGTGCTATATCTCGTCTCGGCAATTGAAAGCTTCTTGGAGAAGAATGCCAACGGTCGTGTCGAGTCGTTGATATGCTTTTGGAGGACTGCTCCTACGGCAACGGTCGAAGCATCAACCATCAGGGACAATGGGGCTTCTGGAGCAGGATGAGTGAGCAAGGTAGCATCAGCAAGGGAGGTCTTTATGCTCTCAAAAGCAGTCAGCGCGTGGCCACGTAACTCAAGGGGACCCTTGGGACCAGAGAGCAAGTTGGTGAGTGGCAGCATAAGGTCGGCACAGTACGGTAGGAACCGGCGATAAAAGTTTACCATGCCAAGGAAACGTTGCAACTGACGCTTGGAGGTTGGTGGAGGAAAGTCACGAATGGCCTCAACCTTGGAAGAGAGGGGACGCAAACCTTGTGCATCGACATGGTGACCAAGAAAATCAAGGGACGGCACACCCAGAACACACTTCGAAGGGTTAATGACCACGTCAAACTGATCGAGGCGGTCAAACACTAAGGCAAGATGCTCTTTGTGTTCCTCGGCATTTAGACTGGCCACCAAGAGGTCATCGATGTAGGCATACACAAACGGGAGACCACGTAGGACTCGGTCAATGAACCTCTGAAATGTTTGGGCAGCATTGCGAAGACCAAATGGCATGCGAATAAAGTCGAACAGTCCGAATGGTGTGGTGACGACAGTTTTGGGAACATCCTCAGGAGCGACAGGAATCTGATGGAAGTCCCGAACAAGGTCAATCTTCGAGAAAACCGATTTGCCGAAAAGAGCTCCAGAAAAATCTTGAAGATGAGGGACGGAATAACGATCCGGGATGGTCGCATTGTTGAGGGCGCGATAGTCACCACAGGGCCGCCAGTCGTCTGATGTCGCCTTGGGCACCATATGCAGAGGGGACGTCCATGGACTCTCGGCCGGCCGAATTATGCCCAGTTGCAGCATGTGCTCAAATTCGGCCTTCGCCGCTTGCAAACGGGACGGAGCCAGTCGTCTAGACCGTGCGAATACTGGGGAGCCAGACGTGCGAATGTGGTGGACAACGTCATGCTGGATCTCGCCACTGCGAAACTGGGGTTTGATTATGTTGGGGTGTTGGAGGAGCAGGTCTCGGTATGGGCAAGCAATACCTGTGTCCAGAACAGATAAATTGCAGGAGTCATTAAAGGGTGTAGGACCGCGGACAGAAAGACCAGTTGTGCGGTCGAGGAGACAGAAACGCCGACAGTCAACAAGGATATCAAACTCGGCTAGGAAGTCGGAACAAAGGATCGCATGAGGCACATTGGCAATCACAAATATCCAGGAGAATGATCGATGTAAACCAATGTTTAGCGTTAGGGAACGACTACCAAAAGTGGAAATGGGAGAACAGTTTGCAGCTTGGAGATGTAGACTAGGGCTGGGACAGCGGCGGTCAACTGGAATGGGGGGAACCACGCTGATCTGGGCTCCGGTTTCCACCAGGAAACGCCTGCGAGTCACATTGTCGCAGACATAAAAGGTGCGACCAGAGCTGGGAGAGCCAGAGAAAACGGTCACGTCTATTCACTGGCTAGCTGGTTTCCCTGTTTCGGTTTAAATGAACAAGGGGAAGAACATTTGCGAGCCTTGTCGGCAAAGTTTGCGTGATACCAATACAAATTGGCTGTGCGAGGTCGCGAACGTGAACAATGACGGCTGGGTGAGCGACTATAGGTAATGCGAGCAAGCTGTAGTTTTAGAGAGGCTATCTCATTCGCCATAGCCGACATCTGTTGCAGTAGCTGCTCGTTAACCGTTGAAGAGGATGTGGAAATCTGAGCAACGGAAGGTGGCTGGAATCGTTGAACCTCTATCATTCGGTCTGCCATTTCAGCAAGATGTGAAAGTGTAAGGTCTTGCGAGCCGGATGCCAAAATCGTTTGGACATCTGCAGGCAGCCGCTCTAGAAACATCTCTTTAACGAGTTTCTCGTCGACCTGCATGTCTCCTAAGAGAGAAGGCATTAGTCGGAGAAGTTCAGAGGGCTTTCGGTCGCCCAGTGATTCCTCCTTGATCAACTGGTGGTAGCGTTGTCGGTCAGATACAGCATTGAGACGAAGGATTTCCGCCTTCACAGCAGAATAGGGAGCGTCTGCAGGTGGTTTCATTAACAAGGGTTGAACTTGTGAGATAATATTGGCAGAGAGAACCTCCACAAGTTTGTGGTATTTCGACAACTCCTTCGTAATGTTGGCGGAGTAAAAGGCGGACTCAATACGGATAAAATAAAGTTCAGGGGCGTGTTGCCAGAAATCAGGCAAAGTGAAATGGACGGCATGAACAGACTCGGCAGGAACATCAGGTTGTTGAGTTGAGGAAGACATAATAAGCAAAATATAGGTAGCACAATATCGTGAAAAGGTGAGCGGGAAATGTAAATGAACTAAAATTTAGCAAATAAATACAGGACGTTAAATGTCATTAAATGTTAGAGAAGGAAAGAACTTAAGTCTGCGCTAACGTCGGGAGTCACCAATGACGTAAGTCATGTCGTTCCCGCGAACTAACGAATTACGGCTTACTAACCCCATAAACGGAGAGAGGTAAGGAAGGCCAGTAAGTGAATAAAGTTAGTATTCAAAATGTGCAACGACCTGACCAGAGAGCATGCAGGCGGCGCGAAGCTTACAAGCGGCGGAGTCTTCGTCACGTTAAAAAAATGCTACAGTAAAACAAACGTGATAAGATTGTCAAAGGTCAAGTAGTTAAGTACTTCAGCACAAATCTTCTCCTCTGCAATTGCTTACCATTGTCTCAAACACCATGGCCCAAACAAATCGTGTTCCAACTACCCTCCAGACCTCATATCGAGGCGGTTAGGCCGAATACACCGACATTCTCGTCTTTTGACAGAATTCCTGCCCCACTGGAGGCAGTGCGTCCCCCACCCCCCATTATTTTTCCTCCCCGGCCGTTTTACCAATCCACCCCTCATGTAATGCCCATCCTGGATCAGATACCTCATCCGCTCCTTAGTTTTGCTCCGGCGAGAATACGTTAAAGTATCAGGTCCATGGATTCCCGGCAGAAAATGAGCTATCTAACAACGGTCATCGGTTTCCCAGCCCGTCATTTCCTTCCCCAAATCCCACCCCATTTTTATTCGCGTCAGGATCTTTTGATGCCACGAATTGTTTTTCAGAACCGGACAGGTTTATCTGGACCATATGTTCCGTGGGCAGTCAGTCACTGGACGACGTAGCCTACCTCCATCAGAAACAGTCCTTCCCGTTAAACCTTTTGTTCTAAATGTCAGATCCTTGTTAAATAAGATGCCTTTGCTTTAGACTCTGGCGTTGGACCATTACCCAGATATTGTTTTAGTAAATGAAACATGGGCGTCAGTCCCCGTAGTTGATTTCGAACTCTCTCTTCTAGGCTATACTTGCATTCGAAATGATCGTCAAGACATTCGTGGTGAGGGAGGCTGCATTTACGTTAAGCAAACACTTACAGTTCTGCCGCTGGACCTCCTGTATTTTTCCGCGGTAAATGACAGCTGTTGGCTCCAAGTTGCATTAAAAATAAGTTCTCTTTACTCGTTGGCTGTATCTCTTTCCCTCCCAACGCCAATGGGAATGTTGATCGTTTACTCGCACCGGCATTTCATGCTGCATCAGACTCAAGCTTTAAGTATCAATTGGTTGCGGGGGACTTCAATCTTCCTGAAGTCCGTTGGTCTCCGCTTTCCGGCCCCAGAAGTTTCGAAGAATCTCTTGAGGCTGTGGATGTTGGCATGAGGATCAGGTTTGCCATTTTCCCACTTGAGGATCAAGCATACTTGACTAAATTTTTCGTACATGCTGCATGCCTTTGTCAGTGTCATCCCTAGGCCCACTCGGGGGCTCAGACCATAACACAGTTGTTTCAACGTTAGAACTCGAGGCTGACAAAATTTCGCCCCCAAAGTAAAGGGCCAGGATGAAACTCTGATGAGAGTCGGCAATTAATATAACTGAGGCGGCCTAGAGAACGCACATCAACCCAGCCACGCTACTTCTTTCAAAGGATTTGTCAGGAAGGATATCGCATTCTGTGGCAGATACGATGCATGAACTGATAGGTCGGAAAAATCAACATTTCTGGTGAGGAATCCTAGTAGGCGAAAATACACACAAGGGGACGAAGTGTGAGCGGATACGGAAATTTAATGGCGGCGTCCTAAATTCCCAGTGGCCCTTTCTCGGTGTCATAGGAAAACTTGTCCAAGAAGGATAAGGAAAATAAAAGGTTAATCGAGTCAGTATTCAGATAAAGGCGCAGCTCTCTCTTAAAAGTATATAGATTATCTGACGATCTTATATTTATTGGAAGGTTATTCCAGAGCAAAGTATACATGGAAACGAAAAAAAGAGCGCACTTAGAGGTGGAGGAAGCGGGAGGAGGTGTGATCAGAGAAGAGTTGCGAAGATTGTATGGACGAGTACAACGGGTAATTGCTGAAATCCGAGGAAGGTTTGAACTATTATTAATGCAAAAGATGAGACAGAAGCCCGCTTCTAGTCGTCGAAGCCATAAAAATTTTAGATTAGGTAGCTGGTATCTATCTGGTAGGAGATTGTTGGATGTCCCGTGCTGAAAAGTTTTCTAGTAAAATGTCTTTGAACATTTTCAACTTTTGAACGACTAGCTACGTTCATAAAACCAAAGAATATACGACAATACCCGAGGATGGGAAGTACTAACATACGATAAAGTCTTAATTTAATTTCAGAAAGATAGAAAATGTAAGAAATATAGTCACAAATCTG